GGGGATCATATGCCACATCTTTCTTGAGCATCAGAACATCAGCTCCATGAAGGTAGGAGTTTTTCAGTTTTATTTACCGATGTGCTTCCAAAACCTAGAAAAGTGCTTGGCACACCAGGATTTCAGAACTTCCTTGAACTCTCCTTAGAATGTGGTTGAGGTAAAAACTCTGGTGGTCCTTTACAGATAAGAAAAGAGGAGAAAAAGGGAGACGGGGATGTAGCATAGGCAAGCATGAGCGTGGGCTGAGTGTCACTGCAGCTGAGGGATGAGCTCAGGGGGCTTCTGAGCTCTCCTGTTTACTGTTGTATATATGTTCATCGTCTTTCATAATAAACATCAAAACCAAACATTTTTTTTAAATTTCCTTTATCCTGCAACCAATCTTTGCCCTTTCTCACCCACCAATGTGTCTGCTGGGCAGAATGGCAGATGTGCCTCTAATCTTTTCCTCTAGTTAATCTCCTAAGGAGAGATGGCATGTGCCAGGCATTAGGACAGAACACAGAAGTCACAGTTCCCAAAGCCTGCCTCTTCTGACACAAGTCTTAGGAGAGCACTTTGGGAAATAATTTTTAATATGTCCATACTTTATGACTTAGAACATTTTTTTTTAAAGCCAGGAACTGGTAAACACAATATCCCTGATAATGGTTATGGCTGCAGTGGATGCAGGCAGATGAAAAGGAATATGAGCAATCCGCTAATTTTTACCTTGGATGGGTTCACAGGTGTTCAATTTATTATTATGCTTCATAACCCACACAGGCTACACATATACGATATTTGTGTGCATCAAGTATTCTAGAACATAAGCAATTCTTTCATAAGCAAATACAGAAATATGCCATGATGTGAACATAATAAAAATAATTTTATTCAAGTCATGATAATAAATAGACTATTTTCACTAAAAGCTCAAATGAGCTAAAATAGAAGAGGCTCTGTATAAACCTAACACCAGCCATGGCACAACCCTGACGAACCCAGCTGGGCTATTTCGGTCTCAGGCAGCTTGAAGAGCCTTCGGTGGCTGAGTCAGACGACCTTTTCTGACAGAGCAGGCATGCCAGGCTGCTTGCAGGAGACAAAAGCTCACCAATCTCCTGAGTGAAGCACTCCAACTGCTCCCCCTGGGTTTTCTATTATAAGCTGCTTTTGAAAAAATGCAGAAACAGGTCACTCCCAAGAAAAACACAGGGTGGTGGGCTAAGCACCCGGGAGACTGGCAGAGGGGCTCACAGGGAATTGAGGGGATAGTGAGAGCCCCTCCAAAAGCCAAATGAGTTCCCTCAGGAAGACGCAACAGTCCTCACTTCTCCTTATTATACACTCAGAATGTTAACACCAAGAGTCATTCCCTGGCTGGTTTTGCACTTCAACGTGTGAAGTTTATCAGGGAAGACAACTTCACCCACTCAAAAGAGAAAGAGGTCCAGAAATAACACTGTCTGGGCCAAAAAGGGAAACATCTTTCTGGCATGTGTGCCAATATGTGCACCCACTTGCACTATGTTTCGCAGTAGCTCCCCAGTTCCCTACGGGGGTGAGGGGGAGGAATACCACCAGCATTCACGATATCACAACTTGGTAGCAGAGCATGCAAGTGGCTGCAGGTCTTAAGAAATATGAATGCAATATTCATATGGATTTTAGTAAAGGGGAAAATAGACCGACTTGGTCATCTCAGTGGCTATATACAACTCACAGGCTTGTGCAGAACACATCTGAAAGGGGAAACTTTTCTGAAAAAGAGGACTATTCCCCTTTTAGAACTAGAAATAATTCAGATTGAGGGCAAATTTGATACTCTCTTTAATTCAAGATGAACACACTGGTTTACTTCTTCACATAAAATATTTACCATAAATTCATTAAAGAAGAACTATAAACAAACAAACAAAAAAGCAAGAAGACCACCCTTCTTCTAAATCCAAAAAACAACCGGTGTGAGCGGTCTAAGGGAACCATCATTAATATTATAGAGAGTTATAGCTTTGCCCTCCTTAAAACTCAAGTTACAGGATGGAAGCAGGGATAAAGGCTGCAGAGAGGCAGCAGTGTGGCGTGGCCCGGGCTTCGGAAGAGAGGCTCTAACCCAGATTCTGCTGCTCAAGAGTCCTCGACTTTCTCCTCTATAAGAGAACGGAGATGAGCTGAGAGTTCTAAAAAACAGCTTCTGGCTGTAAGTACTAGAACAGACATTCACTCGCCATATTTATGGACATTTGTGAAAAGCTGCAAGGTTCAAAGAGGCTACAAAATAGAATGAGCCGAGTCTAAGAGAAAGACTGAATGGACCCATAGAGCTACTGACCACAGGGTGAGGCTTTACTAAAGCCAGCTCCAAGGTATATGGGAGTGGAGGAAAAAAAGACCATGATCAGAATAACTGGCAAGGAATAATAGAATAGAGGGAAAATTAGCCAAAGAACTCTGCTCGATTCTAATAGTTAACATTGAAATGGTCTACTTCCAGAGATTCAGTATCTTTCAGAAGTTTGAAAAACCATCCATTTATGACAGTTTGAGACTATTTCGTAAAATAATGGAAAAGAGCAGACACCCTGGAATCAATCTCTCTATGGCTTAGTTCTAGCTCCACCTAGCTGTGTGACATCAGGTCACACACTTAACCTGTCTGTGCTTTCAAGTCCTCATCTGTAAAATAAAGATAGAAATGGTTCTACCCTTGTAAGACGATTTTGAGGGTTGCAAAAGTAATAACATCAAGAATACAGCAGTGACTAATACATAATAAATAGTTGATTACAGTAGCTATTATTGTTGTTAATAACTAGCAGGCAAGAGAAAATGTGGGTAATTTATGATCTCTGAGGATTCTGGTTAAATACTGCACTTCAGAGACCAGCTCATAATCATCAATTCCACTAAGATCACCATAAAATGAAACACGACAAGACTAGAGGAGAGGAATTACAGAATCCCAGAGGGTCAATGCAGGTAAACAGAGTACACAGAACCTAGCACAAAAGAGGAGCTGAAGGCCCAGGGGTACTCACCAGGCTCAGAACAATACAAAAGTCACAAGATTAGAATGGACTTTTCATACCAGAAAATACCCAATCTACTCGTCATATCCTATTCCAAACTACTTTCCTCTTTTGAGAATACAGTTCTTCCAATTCAACTTATAAGCATGTGAACTTCTAGTACTGAGCATGCAGAGGAGGTAGGCTTATAATAATCCATTATCTAAAAGCTGTTTTGCTTAGATTCCTAAGCTAGAATGACAAATTGGATATCATCTTGATCATTATATCCTGTCCAGTCAAACTTTTCACAGTGATGATAATGTTCTATATCTAGGCTGATCAAAACAGTAGTTGCTAGCTATATGCAGCTACTAAAGAGAAAATTAATTTTTATCTTGTTTAATTTTAATTACTTTAAATTTTAAATGTCACATATGGCTAGTGGCCACCATGCTGGACATTGAAGGTATAGTCAATTGGGAGTGGCTGTCTGCAGCACCGTATCGAAAAGGATCTCAATGTGAGTCTGGGTCTAGCAGAATGAGTGCAGTGATAGATCAGAGAGTTCTGTTCTCAGACAAGGGAGGCTAGCCTTTTATCATATTTTCAGGATCAGTTAAAGGATTTTATCTCCCTTTTCCTCATACCCCCCCCCCCAAAAAAAAACCAACCTCTCTCTTTTCTAATATTTACAGTGATTCTCAGACACTAGAGGGTCATTTTCTGTTCTTAGAAGAAATAAGATTGGCTGAAAAGAACCAGATTATAAAAGAAGAAAAAAAAAGAAAAAGAACTTCACCCAAGACAATGCATAATATCCACTGGTACTCAGAGAAGGAATACTGTTGCAGGAAGTTTTATAGAAGTATATAAAACCAAGAGAGGGCTAAACTACCAATTATTTTGAGTTATGTTATATATAGGCTTTTATTCAATAATATATGTGCCACTGACAGATCATTAAGATGGTTCAATAAATAAAAAAACAGATTACACAGAGAGAATCAACCACATTGTCGATTTTAAATGCAGAAAATATACTAAACAATTGCAAAAGAAACCACCATACCTGGGTTGAAAGTACCACATCCTCCAGAACTTTAAAAATAAAAATAATATACTTCACTCTCCAAGAGAGGAATAGAATTCTAATGTGATTTTTCAAAAATATTGCTGTACTGCCTCCATGAAATACCATCTTGGCCAAATGTATGCAGAAGTCAAAAGATGCCACAAACAACACTACCATCATGGGAAAAATCTAGAACATATATTCTCATTTCCAGATCCCAGAACGGGTTCCTATAAAGCTCTCCCAAGGAAAAACTATCTCAAACTTTTGTGAAAATTTGGTTCCCAGGTGACTCTCAAAGCCTGAAGTTAAGAATCATAATGAAGTCTCCTTTCAGGTTCAAATATATATAAACAAAATGACAGGGTTTGGGTATAAGTACCTATTTCTGTCGCAGAGCATTAACCCTAGCAAGGTTCTACAATTAGTCAAGTCTCTCCCACACCTTGAGATGTCCAAAGAAGAGTCAGTCAGTTCCTTAATTCAACTGCTCCAAACAGAACCAAAACAAAGCAATTATTGGTACTACCCTCTTTCTTCCTTAAAGAATTCACAGTATCTCACACAATAAGATAATGAACTTCTGACCCAATATATTTCTGGGATTCTGCATATAAAAATTCATCTTGCAATTTTACCCAAGGTGGATTATTTCACTCAAGTACCAAAGGACTTTTATAAGCTGATTAGTCTCAGAGCTTGATCCTAAAGAGAGCATTCTAGTGAGACCCTAGCTAACCAGAAAGCTGATGTTACAGTAAAATTTTAACTACTGTATGCTGAAATATAATTCTCTGATATCCAAAATTTGAAAGCTATCAAATTATTTCTCTTCCAGAAGACAAATGAACTGTTGTACATTTTCTGAACTATTACAGAACATCCAGTTTAAAAAGTAACCTCTGGAGAGCAGAAATAACCTCTTCTCTTACCTCCACCACTGTGGTGCCTGCAGCTTTGCACATCGGCAAATTGAAATTCCTTGCACTTTTCCTATATTAGGAGTAGGAAAAAGTGGGGAAAGAAGACCAAAAATAAGAAGAGTCTCTCTCAGTTTCAATTATAGATTAAAATAATTCTATAAACTAAAAATCTGTGAGTCTTTAAAAAAGAATGTATCATATTTTCCGTAAGTATTAAAACTATTTTATAAATAAAAACAATCTAATGGCCACTTCATTCAATTAGATAGATTTTTATGGAGTTGAGAAGAGGGGCTGTTTTTCATGTTCAACATCTAGATTATACACAGAAAGATAAAATAGATATTAATAAATCTACTCTATTTAAAACTATTTGCTTAAATCTTTTAACTGAGATGCCACTTTGTTTCTATAGTTCTGTATTTCACTAAACTTGCTCTTGTTAAAATATTAAGAAAAGTAGCAAGTGCTTTATATGAGAAGGTATAGTCATTATATTCTCTATTAAAGAGAAATGTATTACTGAAATTAAATGAAACGTTGACTGGTATAATATGTGAGTCATCTACAAAGATCATTCCAGGGAACCAATTTCTAATGAAATTTTTTGAAGTACAACACCCACATCAGACCACGAGGTGTAATAACTTCAAGAAAGTGCCAATTTTGCTGATGGTTTTGCATTCCCAAGTTCTTAAATTAATGCACCACCAGTATCCATAAAAATTTTAATGTATTTTTTTGTTTCTGAGAATGTTAACTTGATAGAAAAACTCATTTCATAAAGGGAAATAAGTTACAGCTCTCTTTTACTAGTTCTTTGAGGCCACCAATGTTTATCTCACTTGGATTTAAGGATAAATATAAACTCGGGCATGTCCCAGAGACAGAAGGCCTTGGGGACGTCCACAAGCTGCTGTGTTGGAGTCCACTAGACGCCCAGCAGCATCGAAAGCTCTGAGAGCAGTGTGGCCAGAGGCAAAGACGTGCAGGGCTCTCCTACCAATGACCTAGACAAACCTCTTACCAGTTGTCCCACGAAACATGAGGGTCATCCTGGATGTCAGTATCTTAAGAATCTAAGTCACTTAACCATTGCTGATGAGCGGTCTCATCTCATACCAAATCTCAAGAGCCGCAGGCATAAATAAATGCTCAGAAGAGCACTTGTGCAGTCTTCAGATAGTAGAGCCCGGCAGTGAGTCACAGGACCAATTCATGGAATTATTTTAAATCATTCATTGCCATTTGCTTCTATACAATTTCATTAATCTCCTTATTAATTTTTTTTAAGTTTATTTGTTTTGAGAGAGAGAGATAGAGAAAGCATGAGCAAGGGAGGGGCAGAGAGAGAGGGAGAGAGAGAGAGAATCTCAAGTAGGCTCTGTGCTCACAGTACAGGGGGCTAGGCCTCACAAACTGTGAGATCATCACCAGAGGTGAAATCAAGAGTCGGACACTTAACTGACTGAGCTGCCACAATTTCATTAATCTTTTTAAAAAAGCAACTAAACTTTGCAAACATATACCAAGGTGTCAAATAAGATAGGATTCAAAATGTGTAATTTCCAAAATTAGTTGTAATGAAAAACTGATTGACTTCAAGATATCAAATATAGTATTGGTATCATATAAGGTCTTCAGAAATCAACAAAAATGACATGAGAGTGGTCACTGAGAATTTAATTGTGATCATACCAACATTGCATTCAGTAAAGATAAAAATTGCTAAAACAGGGGCGCCTGGGTGGCTCGGTCGGTTAAGCGTCCAACTTTCGCTCAGGTCATCATCTCACAGTTCATGGGTTCGAGCCCCACACAGGGCTTTGTGCTGACAGCTGGCTCAGAGCCTGGAGCCTGCTTGAGATTCTGTGTCTCCCTCTCTCTCTGACCCTCCCCTGCTCACGCTGTGTGTCTCTCTCTCAGAAATAAAACATTAAAAAAATTTTTTTTAAATTGCTAAAACAGTAAATGACCATATTATAAAAAGAAAGCTATTTCTGTAACCTACAAGTGAAGTCTTCAAGACCACACATTTTGGAAAATTTGCTTATGTATATTCAAAGGTGGTACAATTTTCAAAATACAACCATATAATGTATAAATCCAACATACTAAATACTTGGTATTTAGTATGCTTAGGGTAATCAAAAGATCTTGAAATCTATTAAGTCTGTGGCTTAATATCTGTGGCTATCCAGATAACAAGAATGAAAATTGAGTACTATCAAGATTAACCAACTTTTCAGATAGAACCTATCTACGTATTTCCTAGTGGACACCAACAGGACTGGAAAAGAACTGACCTAAATGGTTATTAGCAATATCTTTCCAGAATATCAAAATAACATAGGCATTTTAAGACAATGCATATTAATAACAGTATCAAAATTAAATACAATTGTGTGTTTTTGTCACATTTGCTAAGCATGTCTCAACACTGTAACTTGTCCTGGCAACTAAAATGCACATGGAAGAATAGTTTGTATGTGACTACATACAAGGGTATATAGACTCAAATGCAGTGCAATCAGAACACATTCCCAGAAACACACCATGTCCCAGCAAGAGCAGTTGCCTTGCACACACACATACATATATACTGACCTGTGGGTTGGTTTGATTGTAAGCCATTTTTTAAATGAACTTTTAAACACCAAACATACCAAGACACCTATTTTGTAATCATAGTGTAGGAATTGTAAAGTTGCTGAAATGCAACTTTGCAGTCATTGCTTTGCTTTGTATAAAACCATCACGGTACCTGAAAATCACGTTTCCTGCTTGGTCTGCCTTCCAGGCTTTCACCAGAGCAAAATCTCCTGTAATTGCTTCCTCCAAAATAAAATGCTGGCCATTAAACTCCCTCACCTGCAGGAGACAAAGGGGGCACTGTCAGGTATTTGCAGGAATCTTGTTTGGCTGTGGTAGGTGCTCTGATAGAAGCAGATGATAAGGATACAAGCCTAGTCAGGGAGGGTTTCTCAGAGGGAGAACAATCTGAAGACTCAGGGTGAGGATTGGTAGTCAACTAGGATTTGGTCAAAGTGGTGGAGTGGGAACTGAGAGAACAGCATGTGCAGAGACTCAGCAGCAAGAGAAAGCTTTAGTAAACTGGAGGAACTGAAAGTTCTATATGCTTATGGCACAGACTGTTAGCACTCATTATTTATGTGCATGAGTTATATACACTGAACATGAAAAATAGCCCATTTTTCCCTCCACTCCAGGAAAAAAGAACTATATAAGCCTCACAAAATAATCAATGTATTTTGTATATAAAGTAGTTATAAAAACCCATTCATCTCTAATTAATCTATAACCATCTGTTGAGATTTTAATTGGAATTCCTAGAATCTGTAGATGACACTGGAGAACTGATGTACCACATCTTTCCACTCATGAGTATAATACATGCCTATATTTTTTGAAGTCTCCTTTGACTTGTTTGAATTGCTCTGTAATTCTTCCCCCCAAAAAAGTTTGTATGTGTTTTTTACGTTTATTCATAGGTACTTCATGGTTTTTTTAATCCTACTATGAATGTTCTATGTTATTCTATTACACCTCCTCTTCCGTCATTACTGTTCTAATGGAATGCTATTGACTTCTGTATTGTATTGCCTTTTAATTCTACTACAGATGGGGAGGGGAAGAAGCATAAAGTAAAACGATGCCATGGCATTTTGTTCCTTTTTTCTTCTTGGAGATTTAGCTCTGGGAATTGAAACAAAGAAGAGAAGAAACAGTGTCAATGCTGTGCTCCTTCCTAGCCTGGATTGGAGCCATAGGAAGGCAGAGATCCATTTTTGCTCATACCACGCCCTCCAGTGGACAAACTGCATGCATATCACAGAAGGCTTCAGAAGAAAGTTCTTTATGGTTTGAAGCAGAAATCCTTCCTTAAAGAACAGCTTCTTTAAAGGCTTTATCCCAATTTCCTGCTAGAAAATAATGAATTTAAGGGACCGCTGATGAAGGAGGATCTTACTAATATGAAACTTCGATGATTCATATGAAAGCTATTTATATAAACTGTATATCAACCTACAGCTTTTTTGAGTCTTGTGTATTTCAAAGTCATTACCATAAACATTAATGATGATAGATGAGTATGTTGCATACGGATCTAGAAAACTACACACAGATCTAAATATATGCTAATCCAGGGCAATGTGGAAAAAATGACTTTTCCCCCCGTATTCCAATTATGTAATTTCCTGACACATCTAAAAACCAGCAGTTGTGGAGTGCTAGCCATTCTAAAATTTTAAAACAGGGAAGGGATTGGTTTTGCCATACTATTACACTCACTGATGAGTTGTGTGTGCCCGGTTGCCACTTCCTTTTTTTCAGCCCTTTCTCAAATCCACTCCAATCAAATTTCCACCATTCCAGAAAAATCATCTCTTCCAGAAAAGTCATTTTTTAAAAAAGTTTGTTTGTTTATTTAAGTAATCTCTACACCTAATGTGGGACTCGAACTCATGACTCCAAGATCAAGAGTCACACACTCTTCCGACTAACCCAGCCAGGCGCCCCTAGAAAAATCATTCTTTAAGGTCACCAATGCTCAATGCCCCCTTCTGTTACCCCACCTCTTCTCAATGGGACAGTGCTGATCACTCCCACTGATCCCACTGATCACTTTGTAAAATCTCCCTTGTCTTTCAAGTTACCAGACTCCCTTTGGCTTTCTCTTCTCAGATGAGACACTTTCCCAATCTTTTTTGGTGCTCCATTTGCTCTTCCCACCCTGTAAATGCAAAAGAGGCTTTCTCTAACCTGCACTCCAGCCTAGACACTCATCTGGTCCCACAGATTTAACAACTACATGCTGATGGCTCCAAATCTCCTATCCCAGCTCTAAACCCTCCCCAAGCTGGAGACTACTGAGCAACTCCTGCTGGAGCCTGAAGGACATGTCAAATGCACCCAGTCCCAGACAAGGCTCTTCGATTACCCTGGTACTTAGCCCATCTCGATGAGCAGCATGCTTGGTTCTCGTCTTTCCTCACAGCCCGCAGTGAATCCGTTGGTAAATCCTACTGGCTCTGCCTTTAACATACGTCCGGATTCCAACCACCTCCCACAAGTTCTGCTGTTACCGCCTCAGTCTAAACAACTTCCACTCCCACCTGGATGTATACAATAGCCTCTTAAACTCCCTCCCTGCTTCTGCTCTTGGACCCCTACCAGAAAACTCTCTACCTGGCACCCGTAGTGATGCTTCCAAAATGAAACTCGGACATGACTCTCCCAATTCTCTGAACCTCTCATCGCACTCAGTAAAACCCAAACTCACATGATCTGGCTTTAGTCTCCTTTCATTCTCCCTTCCTACCACTCTCTGCCTCATTTATGCTGTTCCAGTCTCACCGCTCTGCTGTTCCACAAACAGGGGTAGCCCGCCTCAGGACCTTGTCTTTTCTCCTCCTTCTGACCAGAGCACAACCCTATAATCCTCACCCAACTCGGTCTCTTCTTTTATTCCTATTTCTACCAACTGTCACATCCTCAGAGAGGTTTCCCTGGACCCAATCTGGAACACAACCTCCCTGGCCACTGACCATTCTCTCTGCCCTTACCTTACGGGATTTTCCTTCACAGCACTTTCATTACTGACATTATGTGTTTGTTAATTCATTCCTTGTCAGATCTCCCATTAGAGGGGGACTTGATCCAGATCATTGCATTCTCTACCATACTTAGGCCAGTGCCTGGCAAAGAGTAGGGGCTCAATAAATTCATTGAATTAAGGAATTTACTCACTTTCTCTTTCTCCCATAAGTGGGGAAGTAAAGAGTCAACAGGAATCATTTCAAGACATTATTTGTCACATTCCTAGGTAATTCAGATAAAAGTACAAAACTATTAAAATTGTGTACCTGACTCCAAGAAACATGAACCCAGGCACTCAGGACAGACTCTAGTCTATTGTATGTTTTCCCAGGGCGAATTAATGCTGTAACTTCTAGCAAACTCTCAAAGTATTAACCCAATTTTTCTGGGCATCAATATCTACATTACTAAGATCCATTTTAATAATTAGACTCGTGTCTTAACTTTGTCAAAAACTTTTAAAACCTAATTAGGCAGTAAAGAAGCAAGATAGAATATAAAAAAAATGTTAATCAAAGCTTTGAGTCAATATGGGTCATTCTAAGCAGAAAGGCAAAGCTCCAGATGGAAGACACTGCTAGAGACAAACGCTGCACAGCAAGGGGCATGTTCAATGACCTTTTATCTTCTCTCAAAATATGGAGGTGCAGAGCTAACATCCCTATAAGCAAAAAAAAATGTTTATAAAAATCGCCATAAGTGATAAGAAGTCCATTGATTTATGACACTGTCACTTCCTTAGAGCTAAGCTCAGGATCTCTACAACCTGTGTTATGCTCTCGAGCCATGTGGCCAGAGAGAAAGAAGAGGTACTAAAAATACAGTAATGGAATATTAGCCTGTGTAATTTTAAAGTTGGCTCAAATCTAAATATCTTAAATATCTATATCTAGAGTTCTATTCTTTTCTAAGATGTGAGCGAAGTTACCTAGCGTACTCCATTCTACCCGGCACTTTAAATAAAACTAAATTATTCAATACAGCCCAAACTGTATGTCCAGTATACAAAATGAAGGATAAAGGAGGTAGTATAAATGTTTTATTATATAATTACAACTGTCCCCTACTTTTCAATATTGGATACAAACTTATGATGTCTTTGTTGTTGTTGTTGTTGTTGTTGTTTTTAACTCCTTCACCCACATTCAGTAGGGACTTGAGCATGAAGAGATTACTACGATATATATCATACATCTGCTCTATTGTCCACATAAGTATATCAGAAGTTATAAATGCTTCTACATTTGTTAAAACCTACCATAAAACTAATCTTGGCTCATCTTATATGGATGACAGTTTATTTTCTTCTCATCTATTTATTCTGGTTTCTCTATGTGATTTTAGTTACTAGAGGGTGCTCAGCTTTAGTTAGAAATTTTACCTGGCATATTCACATAAATGAATGACGGTGTCTTCTCACACAGAGGTGATTTAATACTAATCTACCCACTGAGTGCAGCTGGAATCCTATGCTGAAAGAGGAATCCCTGTGCTACCAGATGAGAGCACTCCTTACCTCTCTCGGCTTACTGGCAATGGCAATGCTGCCATCTTTGTTGTATTTGATCGGTGACCCTCCTTGTTGCACCAGGGTCCCATACCCGGTGCTGGTGTAAAATGCAGGAACTCCAGCCCCACCAGCACGAATCCGCTCTGCAAGTGTGCCCTACAAGTGAGCAAACAGCACATCCCAAACAGTTCATTAAGCACACTTATGTATGTGGATACAGAAACACATACAGACATGGCCCCTCTCTCTACAGGTTTATCATTCTACACTCGAGCTTAGCCGAAAGGCTGAGAAGCGATAGAGGTTTATCATTCTAAAGAGGACCCAGCATTGTATATTACTGTATTTCACTAACAATGTATGCTAGATTAATTTAAAGCAAGTCCCTCTAGACAACAATCTCTCAATTCTTTTTTCTTTTATTTTTTTTTTTAACGTTTATTCATTTTTGAGAGACAGGGGGACAGCGGGTGAGTAGGGGAGGGGCAGAGAGAAAGGAAGACAGAATCTGAAAGCAGGCTCCTGGCTCTGAGCTGTCAGCACAGAGCCCAACATGGGGTTCGAACTCACATACCTGAGCTGAAGTCGGACACTTAACCAACTGAGCCACCCAGGTGCCCCAACAATCTCAATTCTTAACCCACATTCAAATGGAACTGCTTGTTTGTATAATCAGGCTCTTAGCTTTCTGATCCCCCACTGCTCTCCTGACATCATATTCTACATCAGTCTATCTGTAATATATTAAAATCAATTTTCAAACCGGAAGTATATAACTTTATATATATTGAAAAACATGTATTTAAATGTTGTGTTTTACTGTGTGCCATATGAAGATATAGCCTGAATTTTATCATTAATAACAATGCCATATTTTACAATAATAATATAATATTTTCAAGTTCACTTAGAATTTATTTTAAAACATTCTTATAAGGATTTCATCTACCACATTACCTAATGAAGGAAAATCCAAAGTTAGACAATGAGTACAACATATAGCTAATTTTTTTTTTACATTTATTTATTTTTGAAAGAGAGAGGGAGAGAGTAACCAGGGGGAGGGGCAGAGAGAGAGGAGACAAAGGATCTGAAATCGGCTCTGTGCTGTACAGCACAGAGCCAAACATGGGGCTTGAAATTACGAACTGTGAGATCATGACCTGAGCCTAAGTTGGACACTTACCTGACTGAGCCACCCACATGCCCCAGTAATTTGGTTTTTAAAAGCTAAGAGTACTTTAAGTTCTATCTCAGGGTAGAAAAAGCTGTATGCAAAGTTCCTTTGTACCCTCTTTTGATCATCTTTATCACCTTCCTGGGTACCAGGGATTCAAACCTGATTTCCCTAGCTCCCTCCTTCCCCCAACTACTTTTCCACCCAGTTATCCCCACAGGCAAACAACTCTGGCCCTGAATATTTCCTGATACCCTCCCTAACCCTGAAATCTATTGTTATGATCTAGCTACATCATATTCATGCTAGATAACTGATTGGCCATTCAGTAGTAAAAACTGGTTTAGGTATTAATAATAGTACGTTAATACTGAAAGCAAATTTCTGCTTTAACTGTGAAAACACTTTCTACTTTAGCTGGGGCCTTCAAACACTAAACTCAAAGCGGGCACTAAAAGTTGGGACTTCAGACATGAGTCATTGAAGTAAGTGGGATAATCTGGGGAAGGTAGGATTTGAGGCATAAGTCCAGATAACTGCTTCTCTATTTCATCTAATGGACAGGGATAACTCCATTTGTATCATATTTTAAGTTAATAACATTCACAAAATTAAACCATCAAAACAACTGTAATAACAGCCCCTACTATAAAATATTTTTATGTTTGCCCTCCTTGAATACTTTATTCCTTCTCTCTGTCCAATCGGGCAAGGGTCTAAAAGTGGTCAAATTCTACACACAGGCTCTCTGCAGGCACCACCAACCCCCTGCATCCAAACCCCGAAGGGAGTCCTCATCCCTACCGCTTCATCAATGCTTCTTGGGTTCACAGGCTGCAAAGCAGGGTGCCAGAGCCGATGTTTATGTCCCTGCCGCTAAGATGGGCAGAGACAGTGACCTCTTACAGTTTAAAGAGTATAAAAGAAATACTAAGGAACACCCATGTACGTGGCCTCTGACAAAATAAAGCATGATGCAGAAGATAAAAGAAGTAATTGAAAGGTTAATTTTCAAGGGCTCTACAACCCAGAGGAAAAGGGATCTCAACCTATAATGCGAAGAGGAAAAGTATATGCTATTGGCTGAATTGTGTCCCCTGAAAATTTGTATGTTGAAGCCCTAACCCCCAATGTGACTGTACCTGGAGACATGGCCTTTATGGAAGTCATTAATGTTAAATGAAGCCAGAAGGGTCGGGCTCTGACCCAATAGGATTAATGTCCTTACAATAAGAGACCCCAGAGTACTCATTTGTGCATGTGCATACCCTCTCCCTCCCGGCCCTCCTCCCCGCTACAAGAATCACATCAGCCTGTACCTTGAGCTTGTACTCCCCAGCTGCCAGAACAGTAAGAAATCACTTTCTCTTGCCTGAGCCACCCAGCCTGTGGCATTTTGTTATAGCAGTGCAAGCAGACTAAGACAGGATACCTTTTGTTATTTCAAAACACTTTAAATGAACACCAGATAAATGCCAGGCACAGTGGGAGGCTATGACACACACAGCTCCAACAACACTGCCGAGTGATAGGGTGTGACCTGCGTAAGGCTGTGTGGCCTCAGGGAGAAAATGGTTCTCCCCTGCATGCTCTCTCTAGACAAGTGTATATTGAGAGTTAATTATTGATTTTTTAAATTCTGCTCGATCACATCATTACCAATGTAGTGAAGTTAGTGGTAATAATAATTCTGTTTACAAAAATAAAGCAGAGTAATGGGTTCAATTTCAGAGATGAAGGCAGATGATGTCAAATTAGAAGACAAATGCCTAGGGACACCTGGGTGGCTCAGTTGGTTAAGTGTCCGACTTTGGCTCAGCTCATGATCTTTAAAAAAATTTTTTTTAAATTTATTTCTAGGAGAGAGAGAGAGAGACAGCGTGAGCAGGGGAGAGTCAGAGAGAGAGGGAGTGACAGACTCTGAAACAGGCTCCAGGCTCTGAGCTGGCAGTCAGCACAGAGCCCGACACGGGGCCCGAACCCATGAACCACGAGATCATGACCTAAGCGAAAGTCGGACGCTCAACTGACTAAGCCACCCAGGCGCCCCGGCACAGCTCATGATCTTGATGTTAGTGGGTTTGAGTAACTATGCTGATGTTGCAGAGTCTGCTTGGGATTCTCTCTCTCTCTCTCTCTCTCTCTCTCACTCTTTCTGCCCCTCCCTGACTCATGCTTTTTCTCTCTCTCAAAATAAATAAATGAACTTAAGAAAGAAAAAAAAAAAACGACAAATGCATATAACCTGTAGACCTCTGTTTTACCCAAATGGCTTCAAAAAGTTTCCTCTCTGACATACTCATTAACCAGTTAAGATGTAGTGTAAGAAGTGAGTGAAGGCTTACAACATTAACTGCAGTAACTGGCTTGCTCAGTAATGACCTCAGTACCCTGCAGACCTGGGCCCTGATTCCAGCATTTATTCTGGGACATATCCAGCTCTTCCCTTCATGGGCTCTACTTTCCTGATGTCTCAGCCAGAACATATTCCTCACAGGCTTCTAATCCTATGATTCACGGGAATGGACTCTCAGGACAATCGTCCAGCGTCTGGGCAAGGCCTACTGCAGGATTCCAGCATAATACATGTCATCGTGATGAACTTAAACATTTATCCGGCCGGGGCGCCCGGGTGGCTCAGTCGGTTAAGCGTCCGACTTTCGCTTAGGTCATGATCTCGCGGTTCGTGGGTTCGAGACCCGCGTCGGACTCTGTGCTGACTGCCAGCTCAGAGCCTGGAGCCTGTTTCAGTCTGTGACTCCCTCTCTCTCTGACCCTCCCCTGCTCACGCTGTCTCTCTCTCTCTCTCTCCTAGAAATAAATAAAAATATTAAAAAAACAAAAACAAAAACAAAAAAACATTTATCCGGGAGCCTAGATATTTTTTGGTACACAAACAGAAAATAATAGTCTTCTAGCCATTAACAGGTGTGACCTACAAACAAATCTCCTTGGTCCTGCAAAATCGCATCCATCCTGCCTTACCTCTCCTGCAAATGAAAATTTCTAGTGGGAAAAACGTAAATTTTAAAATAAGTTACTGCTGTGTAAGAGGAGCAGAGAAACCTTCTTACCTGAGGTGTCAGTTCTACTTCTAATTCACCACTCAAGTACTGCCGTTCAAATTCTGCATTTTCCCCCACATAGGAAGACACCATGCGTTTTATCTGCTTGGATCGGAGTAAAAGGCCCAAGCCAAAGTTGTCAACCCTAGAAGAAAAAGGCAAACAGCTTGCCATCAAAGGTACATCAGACAGAAGAACACTAATATCCAAGATTTTCACAACCATGAAGTGTTTTTAATTTAAAGGATTCCCGTCTGTCGGGCATTTCACCCATATTCTCTCAGTCCCCCACCGCCCAAAGAGCCTTGCAAGGTGGCTATTCTTTTCTTATTTTACAGCTGAGGAAACTAAAGCTCAAAACCTTTAAGTGATTTCTGGCAAGATCTTGGGTGACGCAGCCAGTATCCAAACCCACATCAATCCCACAAATCCACCCTGTCCCTTTCATTCTTCCCACTGCTCCAAAGTGATGCCAGGGTAGAAGACAAGCAGAGAGAAACTGGATCTTGCCTTACACTTTGAAGGCAAATTTAGATACAAATGCAATGCCAGCCTTCTGATCTGCACTGGCTCCAAATGGAGAAATTCATCCTGTCCTCAAAAGTGAGCAAGGTATTCTCATATTTAAAAGAAAGAAGAACAGCATACTCTTGAAATTTAGACCCAAATTATAAGTGACTATGATGAACATTTTCCCTATATCATAGATATTTAGGTCAAGAAGATTTAAACACTTAAATATTTTTAGCAATAAAAAATCAGCAAATTAATCACAAACCAGTGAAAAGATTACAGGCAGCAAGAATAATGCTGTTATCTGTTATCTATTAAGTTTTATATAATATAATGTTTCTATTAAGGTTAAAGTTCAGGGGCGCCTGGGTGGCTCAGTGGGTTAAGCGTCTGACTTTGGCTCAGGTCGTGATTTCACAGTTCTCAAGTTCAAGCCCTACATCAGGCTCTCTGTGGTCCACACAGAGTCTACTTCAGATCTGTCTCCTTCTTTCTTTGCCCCTGCCCTGCTCATTCTCTCTCTCTCTCTCTCTCTCAAAATAAATAAACTTAAAAAATATCTAAGGTTGGAGTTCAATTTATTCTCTTTTAAATTTTATTTAAGACTTCATCTTTTTTAGGGCAGTATTAGGTTTATAACTACATTGAGAGGAAGGTACAGAGATTTTGCACATTCGCTTGACCCCACACATGCATAGCCTACTCTTTTATCAACATCACTCACCTGAGTGGTATTTAGTTACCAAGGATGAGCCTATAATTGACACATTAGAGTTCAATTTCTTCTTAGAAATGGTGCATAGAGTATTGGCTTTTTTCACTAAGTGAGGGTCTCTAAGTTTATGTCTTTCTTATTTATGTCTATTCTTTTTCAAATTAAAATACACCTCGGATTTCAAGCAAAGTCAGTGTGACAAGGCAGATTAATAACTGAATGAATACTTAGCTGTTTTTAGTCACCTTAGCTCTAACCACTAGAAAAACATTTCTAAGATAATGAAGAATGCTTAAACTTAAGTTATAAAGCTATTTTTAAAAGAACTATGGTGAAAACCACAACGAGATACCACTGTAAACATGAAAGAATGGCTAAATTAAAAAAAAAAAAAAAAGGAAATACAAAGTGTTGGAAAGAATGTGGAACACCCAGAACTCTCACAGATGAAGTGGGGAATGTAAACTGATCCAACCACTTTTTTTAAAGTTTATTTATTTATTCTGAGAGAGAGAGAAAGAGCAAGCAGGCTCCGCACTGTCAGCGCAGAGCCCAATGCAGGGCTTGAACTCACAAACCATGAGATCATGACCTGAGCATAGATCAAGTATCAGATGGTTAACTGACTGATCCACCCAGGTGCTCCCCAACCACTTGTGAAAAATTATTCACAGTTTCTATAAATGCTGAACATAGGGATATGCTATGTCAGCAATCCCGCTCCTTGGTATATATCCAACAGCAGTGCATACTTATGTTCAACAAATGACAAGAATATTCATAAGAATATTCAAACTTATGTTCACCAAACAACAAAAACAGAAGTACTGTTTATGGCAGCCAAAAACTGGAGCCTCCCCAATATACCCAACAGTAGAATAAACTGCAGTATCGCCACACAGTGGAATGCCAAGCAGCAAGGAGAACAAATCATCTACAACCCCTGGTGACAACAGATGACTCTCACGTAGAAAATGCCAAGCAAAAGAATGACAACAGAGTACTTACTGAATTACTCCTCTATGAAGTTCAAAGTCAGACAAAACTAATGGATAAATTCAGAAGTAAGGACGATGGTTAAGTTCAGTGGCAGGAAAGGAAAACAGTGACTGGAAGGAAGAGGAGGTGTGCTTTCTGGTATACCAGTCATGTTCCATTTAAAGATGCTGGGGGTTGGTTACACAGGTCTGAAGCCTATGCAAATTCTTTGAACTTTACACCTGTGCTACGAGCACTTTTCTATGTTACTGTATTATGCTATAATAAAGTCACTTTAAAGATATGAATCTCATGATAAAGACAGAGTTCCTCCCAGAAACAGAAGGCTTCATTCATGATCTCTCCCTCCTAATCCCCTTAGTGTTCTAATGCCTCTCCCCTATGGAGCATGTGTATTCTGTATGGCTTACTCATCCAACAGTCCTTGACTAAGTTGTTCCTGCACCCCAGGGCTAGTATGTTGGGTTCTGGGCCAGGAGGAGCTCTGAGATATCAAGAAATAAACACGTAAGCCTATAATTACAACAGAGGGAGATACATGTTAAGAGAGGCCTGATGAGGGGCGCCTGGGTGGCTTAGTCGGTTAAGCGTCCGACTTTCGCTTAGGTCATGATCTCGTGGTTCGTGGGTTCGAGTCCCGCGTCAGGCTCTGTGCTGACTGCCAGCTCAGAGTCTGGAGCCTGTTTCAGTCTGTGACTCCCTCTCTCTCTCTCTCTGACCCTCCCCTGCTCACGCTG